AAATAGGATTTTTAATGCAACACTGTGGGTGCTCTGTCTCACTCGTATGTATAGAATTGTGTACATTCGCCTTTATTTTTCTGAATTCACGTATATCAATATGTCACCAGTCTCTTCAAGGGTTCTATCTCTTCAATGATGTTTACTCATTAAGAAGTACTCTTTTTCTTATATAAATGTAAAATATGAATCTGTAGGTCCTCCAGCTTAAAGTTTAATTTCCTGTCTTCATTCTTTCCTTAGCCATCCAGTTTTACTACTCTATCCTAGACAAACTGTGAACAGATAATAGGAAAAAAATTTCGATGTATACTTATAGATTTAAGCTTAAAGACATAATAGTAACTTATAATGTGCCAGGCATTGTTTTAAGTACTTTTGTAAAAGGGGTGTGGTGGGGGCATCTGACCTCCTCTAACTTCACAAGGGGGAAGAAGAATCATTACCAACATCAGCAGCCCAGGGCTGATTGCTATGAGATGGAGGTCAGACATGCCTCCTCTCTCCAACCTTTTTACCAATTCTGACACCAGCCATCGCTTCTATGGCACTCTACTTCTATGCTGGGTTTGAGAATTCATTGCAATGGCCACACAGAACTCACAGACAATGCTCATGATTGTGGGGTTTATTAGGGAAGTAATAGGTTGCAATTCTGGATATAGTTCGTCAATCAGGACAGCCTCTTAGCCATCCATGCCTGCATGAGACAGAGCCTCCACAGTGCTGTATTAAAAATCTTGTTTTCTTAGCTTGGCTTCTTCCCCCACAGTGTTGTATTAAAAAATCCTATTTCCTTTGCTGGGCTTCCTCCCCCAAGCTTTGCCTTTGAATCCTGCTTTTGCTTGGAGGTTATATGTAAACCCCATTGTGCCTGCGTAGTATGATTAAGAATGTTGCTCATGTAACTTGTATTATTAATTCTCTATCGTAAACCTCTTAAAAGTAGCTTGCCTGCCTGCCCTTGGCAAGCAGTCTTGGCAGCAGCAGCTCCCACTGACTCCTTTACCTTATACAACAAAATAAGTGTGCCTTTCCTGTTCTCCCACCTTGCTCTCTCGTTTATTGACCGATATGAGTCATGCCGAGCAAGAACCTGGGGTTTCCACCCAGTAACATTTCTGGTGAGCCAGCCAGGAGCCATCTGCCCAGTTCCTGAGGTGGATTGGACAACAGACTGCCCCAGTGTCTGGTGCCACCAGGAGATTTCTCCTGGATACCGGAGCAGCTCTGAAAGCCAAACCACCTGGGATCCAAACAATGGCTCTGTGGGAGACACGAAACGTGCCTGGGTTGTTTGGTAAGTACCTAGGTAAGGCCTTAGAAGAGTCCCAAGAAGTGGGAGGAATTGACTGCTGTGGGTATAAAAGGCTCAGGTACCTGTTAAGTTGGTGCACCGGATTAGGTTGTGTGAGTATGTAAGTGTGTGTATCCAGAGAATGGAGAAAGTTCAAGGCATCCCAGAATGTGGCCCACTAAGATGCATCCTTAAGAACTGGGAACAGAGACTCAGAAAGACATGGCTCTGACAGGATGCTTGTCCCTTTCCTACTTTTGCCTCTTTAAATATATGCTGAATAAAACCTTTCTTTTTGTTTTACTAAACTTTGTGGTGTTTTCACCATACAAGAGTTAATGGTGTGGTTGTTGCAGGGATTCCAAAACCACAAATCCAGTTGACCTCAAGGAGACCTGGACTGTGGAGGAGCAGAAACCTTCAAAAAAGGAAGTCCCATCTCCTGGATCCACGTGTTGAAACTCCATGTCCCTTTGACACCAATGGGGTGAGTGCCCTCCGAAAACGAGCCTTTGTTTATTCTTTTTGTTCTCTTTCTCATGTTTTTTTAAGCCTTATTCGGCATATTTGTTTTGAAAACCATTTGTTTAAGGATAATCTTTCTTAGTTTTTCGCTTGATCATTTGGTTAAGAGTGACGTTTACTAACTCTTTTGGTGAACTACTGTTTAGTGTCTAGATTCAGGTGTTTGAAACATTAAAGAGACAATTCTATTTCCAAAGAGCTCTGGGTCACTGTAAGCTGCAAAATTCGGGCACAGGTTGACCAGTAAAAGCCATTAGGGTGGTCACCAACGCTCATCACAAGTGTTAAAGACTCCTGTGACAGGATAAAGTTGTCGTGAGACAAGCTGGGGCACTAGAGAAAACCTGGGTGACAGTGCTCTGTTTTGCTAAATTCACAGTGAGAAGTGTTAGCTCAGTAACTGTTGTATGATATAGTTTCTCAATAAAAAATCACAATGTTAAAATTAAAATCGTCGGTAACTACTTTAAAATACTTTTCAGGTAAAGAAACTAGTATATTTAAGGTCTAAAATAAGAGAGTAGGTCTCTAGCCAACAAAATGAATTAAGTTAAAAAAAGAAAATCAAAAGCTTGAACCTTAGAGCTTAACATTTTTGAAAAATGAGCCTGAATTTCCCCTGCTACTGAGACGCTGGTTTAGGGTTCATATTTAAGAATGCTATAAACTAAATATACTAAAAAGCAATTTAGAATTTCAGTGGCTGCTTTCGGAAAATGAGCTTTCCATTTGTGTCGTCCTGTCTTTTCCTTTTTGGGGAACTTTTGCTTAATGCTTAGTTTTTGTCAAAAATTCTAATCTTCTTCTATCTGAGGCTCTGGCAAGTTAGTAAGTTTTATCTAAAACCTGGGGTTTTTTTTCTGTGAATTGAGTCAAGAGAGTGAGGATGTGGCAAGATCAGACCTTCCCAGCCCCCAGTCTCAATAGCCAAGAATTGATGGATTCATTTACAAAATTGCTAAACAGCTTTGGTATTTACTGGGTAGATAGCCTTTCAAAATGCCTAGGCCAATTTATACATGTGTAAATGAGTTGGGATTACCCAGTCTTGTCTTCCCTAAGTCAAGAGAATAAGGGATCAAGCCTCCCCAGCCCCCAGTCTGTGAAGTAATATAGCTCCAGGGAAGCTTTTGAAAGACACCTTCCAACCCAGTGGAGACTTTTTTAAAACAAAAGAAAATAAGAAAAAATTGTTGCTTTACTGTAGTTACCAAAAATTAGAGAGATCTCAATCATAAAAGAACTGTAAACAAGTCCTCTCTATTATAAGAGAACTCTAAAAAGCAAAAAATAAAAATCAGTGAGACACACCTAAAATGGCCTATAAAAGTGTTTCCACCCCTAGCCAGAGAATTAAGGTTATATCTATTTCAAGGGAATGGTCATGATTTAGAAAATAATATTGGAATCATTTATTCTCGCTCCTTGAGCATAGAGAATCTGACCCAGCTGGAGCTGGGCTCACAAGGACTCACAAGAACATTATCAACTCAGCCCTGAGATAAAGACAAAAGATAGGATAATCTTGAAAAGTATCTTTTAGGGAAGAAAAATATCTTTTAAGGAAACTTTCACAGAAAAACATTCAAGCAGAACACAAAAGATTTTTCACTCTTTTTCTTCTTAAAAATTTTTTTTTATTGTACTTTAGGTGAAGGTTTACAGAATAAATAGTTTCTCATTCCACAGTCAGTATGCATATCGTTTTATGACATTGGTTAACAAACCCACAACATGTCAATACTCTCCCTTCTTGACCTTGGAGGACCTTTTTTCTTTTTTGGTGAAAATATACATAGCCAAAGA